ATTACTTTATGGTTTCCGTGTTTGGATGGCCTGATCCAAACACTTGGGAATGTTGCTCGAGTTAAGAAAAGCGCGCAAAATCACTCGCCTTCGGCTCGATTTCGCGCGCTTTTCTTAACTCTCGCAACATTCCCGCGTGTTTGGATCAGGCAATCCAAACACAGAAACATAAAGTAATTGTATAGTAATGTGTCGAAAAGACGTTTTGTATATTGTAAGATTATATGCAACTATATATAGAACAAGCTTTCGTTCGTAGGAATGCAATTACTTGAAAAATATAAGGAGAATTTCGACGTTTCAAGCGAAGGCCCTTCGTCTGGAGTTACGCCTTCGCTCGAATTCCTCGAAATTCTCCTTATGTATTTCTGGTAGTTTCATCCCTCCCAACGAAAGCTTGTTTATATTATTGGCACTACCTACACTATCACAGACAGTTCAAGTAGTTTATACAACTATATAGCCAATATAGGCCCTCTTTGGGAGGAGTCGAATTTGCGGCACTGCGATTCCGGTGCAGCGCTCTAACCAACTGAGCTACAGAGTCAAGTAGTCAAGCTCTAACCACAAGTTCTTCTAATAGATATACTGCATGGTTATGCCATTGTAAGTAATGGGTAAATATCGAGATTTGAAAGACTATAATTCAACTGTTAGTTCTATCGAACTAGATGCCCACAAATTCGATATTTACCCATAAGGAATTTACTACTTTCGGACGCGTGGGAGTTGATATCCTTATTACTTTAACAGGGCGTTTAGGTAAGGCGCGGTACATGTATGAATGAGTTCTGTGATTGGAAACAATAGTGAACCGACAATGGCAATAGTCTCCCTCGCAGCCGCTCTTTGAGGAGCGAAACAAAGAACGGCTGCGACGAAGACTTGACGGCAACAGCAGAGAACAATATTACTCACATTTTTGCATTCGAGCCAAAGTCGGGGGTGGAAAAAGTATCGGACCATGGGCCCCAGAAACTTTTTTGAAAGAAAGATAATTGTAATCAATTAGATAAAAGGAAAAATCCCGGCAAAAGATTCTAACCATTAGAAAGAATGTTAACTGCACTGTAGGTATGACCTCAGAAATTATTATAAGTACATGCCATCTTAATGGTGCGATAATGTATAAATGAATAGACTACAGTTCAGAAATATTGTAACAAATGTTGTATGGCAAATGCATTTTAGCCAATCTGGGACACCTGATTTTCAAATTTTTCTGAGGAGCATGGATCCCCCTGATAATGCCCCTTAGTAGTGCCCTTTTCCCCTGTATTTAGCTACCTTATAGGATCAAACCCTTGATGCATGTTATCTGAATTAGTTTTATGTTATATTTCCAAACGTATTATTAAGATTCTCAGTGCATTTAAATATTTTCTTCTGCATGACATACAGTTACACTGTCCGAGTGTCGATTTACTGGATTAATTGCAGAAAATTTTCCATGTTCTTTTGCGGTCCCAGAATGTAAAATATTTTCCCACCATACATTACGAAACTTCCAAATGGTCATAAAAATAGAGTCACGATCTTTCATCTTTCTCGGAAAAATTTATAATAGTTTATACCTGTAAACCACTGATATAAAACATACGTATTCTCTAGTTATAATCACTCCGCGCGTATTTTCAGTTCTAAAATTAATGTTGTATTTCGGCTGATGAGAAAGATGGTGAGTCGTCCGCCATTTTGGATGAATTTTTTATCTCATTAACGATAGTGACCGAAATATAATTTTGGGCTCATAATCATCATTGCATATCTGGTAAAATATTTGCATGACCCTGCTTGTGACGTAACGGTGAATATCAACAATAATCCAAGATGGCGGACAGTTCACTGATTTGTGATGATTTACTAAGCGATATTTGGAGAAGCTGTACATAATTTTAAAAATTCTCTCAAACGAGACAAATTACATTTTTATTGCCATATCCCTTGTTAATGAGATGGACTGCGAACGTCTTAGCTTCCTCAGTTCGCTAGAAAAGCTTGGCGGATGGTTGACCAGCAAGAAGAACCAATACAATAGCCGGACCCACTCCAGTTGGTCACGTGCGATCAGTAGCAGACCAGCGGTTTACCGTATAAGGTGGTGCTTCAAAATTACGTGTCTGTAGCACTGATCAGCGGTCTTCAATCACTGTCATCGCTATCTTCTGCATTTGATCTCAAGTTCGTAACCAGGTCTGGAGTGTTCTCTGATAAAATTCCATTTCTACGAATGAAGAAATAGAATATTTTAACATCATACAAGGAGTACCCTGGATTCCAGAGCCTTCGACAGTAAATAATAAATTGAAACGTCGCGAAGGCTCTGGTTCAAAGGGAAGATTCTTTGATTAAACCGCGCCAATCACAAAACAGAATTAGTGGTTTTAGTACAGAATCTGTACTAAAACCACTAATTCTGTTTTGTGATTGGCGCGGTTTAATCAAAGAATCTCCCCGTTGAACCACAGCCTTCGCGACGTTTCAATTTATTATTTACTGTCGAAGGCTCTGGAATCCAGGGTATACAAGGAGCGCAGCCAGCCTGGAAATACACACGCAAAAATCTCACATCTTGTAACAAGTTTGTCAACAAGCTGTCAACAAGTTGTCTTCGCACTGTTTGTCCCAAGTTGTCAACAAGTTTGGAACAAGCGCGAACACAACTCGAACAACCTTGTTGATATTATCAGACTTGTTGCAAGGTTGTTCCAACAAGTCTGATACAGTCATGATATAACAGTATATTGTTGCAACCTTTTGTCGCCAACCTTGTAACATTCTTGTTTATCATGACTGTATCAGACTTGTTAGAACAACCTTGTGACAATTGTGATAATGCCATCAAGCTTGTTACAAGTTGTTAACAGCTTGTTCCAAACTTGTTACAACAACTGGGAACAAGCAGTGCGAACACAACTCGTTCACAGCTTGTGAACAGATTTGTACCAACTTGTTTGCAGACCTGCAACAACTTGTGCGTTTTTACGTGTGTACACCACATTCAGATAACGAGATCACTGTTAAGAACGCAGTTGTACTCAAGTTCTAATGATGTCGAGTACAACTAATTTAAGTGACCTGGAAAAAGGGCCGAATTTCACTGAAACAGACGTAAATGCAATCAGATTGACTAGTCCGGACTGAAACGAGATTGGTAGAATGTCATCTTCAGGGTTTTCCGAGATTCGCCAACAAAAAGCTCAGGGCCAAAATGTTGCACCTCCAATTCGATAAAATGGGACTAGAACTATATTTACGTGGAAAAGCACAAGTCTGTAGATTTTATTTTTGTGGAGGTAGCCGTCGGTCATTGAATGGAGCTAGGGCAGGGACGCCGGAGCGAGGGTAGGGCATAGGTTGACGTAAGGGCAATCACGAATTAACATTTCGTTTCCAAAAAATTTTTCCGGAACCTTAATTCACCAAAACAAGGGCAAAAATTTTTGAAACTTAACATAATTTTTGACACAATATTCCAGAAAATTTCACGTATATTTCAATATTACGTCCATTTCACCCGTAATATATACTTTTTAATTGTTGTATACATAGAATTTTTATCTAAGGGCACTTTCGCCCCCCCTTGCCCCCCCCTTACTAAAAGGCAAGGGGGCGATGCCCCCTGCACCCCCCTTTCCGGCGTCCCTGAGGCTAATGCAGGGCGCTGTAAAACCATAGATATCTTATATACACTAGATAGTGCATCTAATTATTCTGCAATTCAAAAATTGAAGCCGTGATTGCAGATTCAGGTCGTTCCCATGAAATGAGAATATTCGTATGTTTTCTATTTCTTAAACAGGGAACTTAAACATTAAGATAACCCTATTGCAAATACGTTTTTAAACTATTCAAATGATGGAAGTTATTGTTGTTTTTAAGCGTTTATTAGCAAGTGGGAACGACCAACATGGCCGCCATCTATTCAAATGGGGGTAACCGCTGGAATATGTTTGGCTTCAATTTTACTAAAAGAGATGCGCTATCTAGTGTATATAAGATATCTATGTGTAAAACACGCTGTGAGTTGGATAACCGGTTCCACAATTTGTATCCTTGGCGACCTAAACACTGGCATCAAACATCCAAGGCATTAATGTAATGGTTGTGGTATACGTACTCAGGTTAAACCAAAGGTCGTGGGTTCGAACCGCGGTCAAGCAAAATTTTCAGCTTGCCCAGTGTGGACACACTCAGCGTATGAGGTGCGATTTTCTTCTTCTGATGGATGTGAACGAGTGGATGAGTTGTAAATGTTGAGATGAGGGTACACATCACTGAGCTATACTTATATATCTGGAGATCGTGCTCTCGACGAAAGTGTGTGGCCAAAAACATGGCGGATTTGACGTCACAATCGACCTATTTTCATGGGGGGTTCCACTGACCCGTGGTTCGAATGTTCGTGGGCGACAAAGTTCAACCCCCCCTGGATTTTACAGTGATTTTGTATGTTTATATTAGTTGATCGACAGAGAGTATATTTTTGATTTTCGTCCTTTTGAAAATACAGTATTATTCTAACTGCGCGTATAAATCAA